ATTCCGGGGCATACCCAAGCTTAGACGCTTGAGTCTCCTTGAATATTTACTTGGGGTGCCTTGGGCATCCCCAAGCTTGAGCTCTTGCCTCTCCTCCTTCTCCTCATATCGAGACCTCCTCGATCTTTGATCACTTCATCCACACAAAACTCAACAGAAAGCTCGGTAAGATCCGTTAGTATAATAAAGAAAATCACTACTCTAAGTGCCGTTGCAAACCAATTCATATTTTTTTCTTGCACTTTATCTACTGTAATATAACTTTTCCATGGCTTAATCCACTGATAGAAATCGATAGTTTCATCAAAACAAGCAAACAATGCATCAAAAACAGAATCTGTCTTAAACAGGACAGTCTGTAGTAATCTGAACATTTACCATACCTCTGATACTCCAAAAATTCTTAAAAATTAGAAAAAATAAAAAATTTGTATAGAAAGACAGTGCAAAAAGTTTCAAAACCGTTTGACGTTCCAGTAAAAAATGAAAAATCGCGCACTACAGCCAAAGTTTCTGTCTTGGACCGCACAAACCAACAAGCAATCTAAACATCCTAAAGGCAAACATTGGCACATTATTTTTATAATACAATGGAATTGTACAAGGGGATAATTGTTTTTATTGAAAATTTTCTGTAATTAAGATTCACAAAGTTTTCGTGAGCATGAACAAAGTTCAAGGAGCTCTCCCACTTCAACAATGCTTGTCTCTCTCACTTTTACTTTCCTTTTGGAAAAGTTTTGGGTTCCCCTCAATTTTATTTTTAAACTTTATAAAAGCACACAACAGAAATAAATGACTCTCTAAAACTTTCAGGTTGTCTCCCTGGTAGCTCTTTCTTTAAAGTCATTAAGCTAGGCGTATAGTGCTCAAGTAATGGATCCACCCGGATCCCAAGGTATATCAAAGCCAATTTTAATTAACAATGATTTGGCATTTAGTCATGAGCACAAAGTAACATATATCAAGCAATGACGAAGTCTAACTCTCTTCCTATGCATCGGCATGTCATAAAAGAACAATTCATGCACACATAGTAAAGGCCAATGCATAGTATAAACAGTTTCTTGCAATTTTATCGTGTTGGAAGCATAAAGAGGCGGAGATGTAGTTTCTCTCTCATAATAATTGCAAGTAGGAGCAGCAAGCACATGCATATTATATCTATCAAAATCATCATGTGTAGCAGTAAAACACAACCCATCAATATAATCCTTAATAAGGGAAACTTCTCCGATATAGTGTAGTCGGGAGAATTCAAAAAGATAATAGGACTATCATGCGTGAATGCAATAGCAACAATTTCATGTTTAACATAAGGAACTATAGCAAGTTCATCTCCATAAGCATAATTCATATTGGCATCTTGACAACAAGCATCATCAAAAAGGGATATTTCAAAAGAATCAAAGGGATCATAGCGATTATCATAGCAATCATCCTTCGGTAAGCACAAAGGGAAATTAAACAATGTATGAGTTGAAGAGTTACTCTCATTAGAAGGTGGGCACGGGTGATCAATCCACTCTTCCTCCTTTTGTTCTTCGCCCTACTCCTCATCTTTTTCATCTAATGAGCTCACGATTTCAGTAATTTATTCTTCCATATTTTCCTGCAAAATATTAGTCTCTTCTTGGACAACGGAGACTTTCTCAATAAATGCATCAATATAGGAATTGAATTCATAATTCTCATAGAAATATTTAAGTATAGCAAAATTTTCAGGTCTGTAAACAGCATCATAAAGATTTTCACACTCTTTAAACAAAGATTCAATTTCATAAGCACCCATAAAAGCAACGAATTCTTCTATTTGTTCCACATCATAGTAATCATATATACCATTATCATAAGAATCCAATGTTTTATTATCATTAAATTTGCATGAAAAGGGAAGGTGTGGAGCCTTCATCCTAGAGCAACAAGTATAATCATATCTCAAGCATAGTTTCCGGGCATACCAATGGAACATATAAATTTGATCCCATAATAGTTTCCCTTTTTGAGTCAAGCGATAATCCCTAAAGTATTCACGTTGATCCAACGTGTCTCCCATAACATAATTGAATGGGGTTTTCTCAGAATTATCAAAGTAGTACATAATATTTTGCACATAATGAGCATCGAGGGTTTTAGGAGGTTCCCCATCTCCATGAGCAGCAAGTACACCTAATTTTTTTGGTATTTCGTGTTCCATATCCATAACTAAAGATAGAGAACAACTTAGAACAGCAAATAAAATCTACTTAGTGATAAAGCAAACAAGCACACACGAGAACATTCACCCCACGCTATAACTCTCCGGCAACGGCGCCAGAAAAAGGTATTGATAACCCACAAGTATAGGGGATCAATTGTAGCCTCTTTTGATAAGTAAGAGTGTCGAACCCAACGAGGAGCTAAAGGTAGAACAAATATTCCCTCAAGTTCTATCGACCACCGATACAACTCTATGCACGCTTGACGTTTGCTTTACCTAGAACAAATATGAAACTAGAGGTACTTTGTAGGTGTTGTTGGATAGGTTTGCAAGAATAAAAAGAGCACGTAAATAAAAACTAGGGTTTTTTAGGTAAAGAAACAATAAAGTAGTATAGCGAGTGTGGAAAAATGGTGGTAGGAGTTGTGAAATTGTCCCTAAGTAATTTACTACTTTACTAGACCGATAGCAAGTTTTATGTGGGAGAGGCCACTTCTAGCATGTCATCCCTGACTTGAAATTCTATGCACTTATGATTGGAACTATTAGCAAGCATCCGCAACTACTAATGTTTATTAAGGTAAAACCCAACCATAGCATTAAGATATATTGGTTCACCTTCAATCCCGTATGCATCAATTTTTATGCTAGGTTGAAGCTTCTATCACTCTTGCCCTCCAATACATAGTCCTATCAACATACAACTAACCCTATGGTGTGATCCACGCGCGCGCTCATATGATAGGCACCAAAGGACAGCAACATAACCACAAGAAAATTAAACCAATCATAGCAATTCACCAATTACCGATAGGACAACGAAAATCTACTCAGACATCATAAGATGGCAACACATCATTGGATAATAATATGAAGCATAAAGCACCATGTTCAAGTAGAGGGTACAGCGGGTTGCGGGAGAGTGGGCCGCTATAGATTGATGGGGGGAAGGTGATGAAGATGTTTGTGAAGATGACGGCGGTGTTGGTGAAGATTGCGGTGACGATGATGGCCCCGGCGGCGTTCCGGCGCCACCAGAAGCGAGGGGGAGAGAGCCCCCCTCCTTATCCTTCTTCATTGGCCTTCTCCCTAGGTGGGAGAAGGGTTCTCCCTCCATTCCTTGGTCTCCATGGAGTGGGAGGGGCGAGAGCCCTTCCGAAATTGGATCTATCTCTCCGTCTTTCTGTGTTTCTGCGTTCTTAATTCTGGCCTTTCACCGTTTCTCATATTTCCGGAGATCCGTAACTCCGACTGGGCTGAATTTTGGACACGATCTCTATCCGGATATTAGCTTTCTTGCAGCGAAAGAAGGGCATCAACCGCCTTACGGGGTGGCCACGAGGGCCGAGGGTGCGCCTGACCCCCTGGGGTGCGCCCCCTGCCTCGTGGCCCCCTCGGGCATCGTCTCGCGTTGATTCTTCTTCCCGAAATTCATTAATATTCCAAAAAAATCTCCGTCAGTTTTTATCCCGTTTGGACTCCGTTTGATATGGATTTTCCGCGAAACAAAAAACATGCAACAAACAGGAACTGGCACTGGGCACAGGATCAGTATGTTAGTCCCAAAAATAGTATAAAAAGTTGCCAAAAGTATATGAAAGTTATAGAATATTGGCATGAAACAATAAAAAATTATAGATACGACGAAGATGTATCAACATCCGCGCTGATGTACTGCCGGTCGCGCTCACCGACGGCCGTAGGGCTGATGGTGAATGGAGCAGGCGCGGGGGACCGACGCGGTGGTGATGCCGGCTCCTCTTTTACGGAGCCGCGGCGGCTGCGGCCCGAGGACGAGCCAGCCTCGCGGTCGTGCTTCCCCTTGCGGCCGGTGGAACCCCATGGCTGCGAGGCGGCCGGCCAGCGAGATCGAGGACGGGGAGAGGGAGAGCTAGGGTTTGGGCGGTGTCGGGTTTCAAGGAGGCAGCACGGGTTGGAGTGGGAAGTGTGGACGACGACCAGTCCACGGCTTTGCATTTAAGAAGGACGGCGACCGTTCGCTGGGCGGATGACAGGTGGGGCCAACCGCGCATGCACGTTAATGTAGGGCGGTGGGAGGTAGGTGATCGCCTGCCACGCGGCTCCGAAGCGGACGAGCGACGCATCCGTTTGCTGTCCGTCGTGACCCAAACCCAACGCATGTTTACGTTTGAAATGGGTCAGCCCGGACATAAAACGGACCAGATGAGTCCAGGCCGTCGCGCGCTATCGGCATACCGGATTGGGTCACGCGCTCGAGTTGGCCTAAGGTTACTCGCACGGGGGAATTTTTTTTTGTCGTTGATGATGAAATTCTCTTTCCAACGGGGCCCACCACCTTAGTCATTTTTCCACTCGAGTCAGCCGCCGTCAACGCCAGTCCCCAGCCAACCGCCGCCGCAGCCAAGTGTTCGTCTTGCCGGACGACGGGTGAGCACGCTTCTCCCTCCCCTCACTCCTACCTCCCTGGGCGCTTGGGCGGCGCCATCCTCTGCCCCCTCCGTCGCTACCGCTCTCCGCTAGACACGGCGGCCCCGGCTCGTTGGGACCCAAATCCTGCCGCCGCAGCACCGATCTGCCCGGATCCGCTTGCCGAACGCTGAAAGGCTAGCCGTGGTGCTCGTCGTATCCTCTGCCGGCCGGCTGCAGCGCCTTCTTCTCCGGTCGCACGGTGAGCCCCCTTTTCTCCTTATCCTCATGTTCTGAATCATGACACCCTGCACTAATCCTCAACCGTTCCGTGCAGAAACATTAGATCCCGATCCCAAGCAAAGCAAAGAGGAAACATTCCCCCTGTGTTGTTACCTATCCAGTCTTCACCATGGAAACCGCCAGCAAAAACGTCACCAATGTCGTGCGCTCCATGAAGCTGCTCAAGGTGGACGGCTACTGCGCCACCAAGACCATGGGCAACGACGACTGCATCAAGTCCACCTACAGCATTGGTGGGTATGAGTGGGAGATCTGCATCTACCCTGCCATGATGCCCCGCGCGCGCGACGGCACCCCGTGGGTGGCGGTGAAGCTCGTGTTCCTCAGCGAGACCTGCCCGTCCATCGTGAGGGCGAACCTGAGCTGCCGTCTGGTTGATCCGAGAAGTGTCCTTCGACCGTCTGAAGAAAAGAGTGTGTCATGTATATTCAACCGTTCCTGGCTATCCCGCTGTCTACAGATGTGCTCGCCTTTCGTGAGTGAAGATTGTTCGCTTCCAGTTCGTCTTATGTCGACGGGCGGCCTAGCATCATCCGGTTATCTCAGGAATGATTCTTTTACCGTGCTATGCGTTGTCACGGTGCTGAAGGAGGATTTGCCAGATCAAGCAATCCCAGGTAAAGAAGTGTCTGGGTCATCACCTAGCCTGCAGAACCACCTTGCTGAGCTCCTGCACAGTGGGTTGGAAGCAGATGTCACATTTGTTGTATCTGGCAAGTCTTTCGCTGCACACAAGGTCATTCTTGCTGCAAGGTCCCCTGTACTGATGGCCGAGTTCTTTGGCCACATGAAGGAGACGAGCTCTCATCGCGTCGAGGTCAAGGACATTGATGCGGTGGTATTCAAGTCGTTGCTTTACTTCATCTACACTGACTCTGTGCTGGAATTTGATCAGCAGCATGAGGCGGTCACAATGTTGGCTCAGCATTTACTTGCAGCTGCTGACAAGTATGGACTGGACAGGCTCAAGGAGATCTGCGAAGGTAAGCTCTCTGATGGCATCAGTGTCGACACGGCTGCAACTACTCTGGCATTAGCAGAGCAGCACAACTGCCCGCAGCTCAAGGTGAAATGTGTCGACTTCATCGTTAGCACTCCTGCAATTCTTGATGCTGTGTTGGCGACTGACGGCTATAAGCATCTAGAGGCAAGCTGCCCTATGGTGTTGCCTGAGCTTCTCAAGTCTGCCCGGGGCAGAAAGAGTTGACTGGTGACCGTAAGGGTTCTAATGGTCCAAGATTTTATCATGCCTGTAGTCTCTGTTTATGGTTGCCATGCATGTGTGGTCTAGTAAGAACCCTGTGTCTGTATTCACCTCGAATGGAAAACCTTATGCCCATCTACTTATGTTATGACCAACTTATTGCTTGCATTTCCTCTCCAATTTGATCTAATTTAATGCTAAATGGTCCAGAATTTGGAATCTCTTTTCCTCTGTGCTTGTCAAATATTTGCACAAGCTGATACATATGTGTGCCCAGCTTGGTAAAAATATGCTATTTCAGTGTTATTAAGGGTAGGATGATTCAGAGTGTGTAGAGATGATTTGCTCGGTTGCAGCCTGCATCCACACAATCCTTGTGTTTGTTTTACCTTGTAGTATCTTTTGAACACATTGTCACATCAACTTTCGGAACAGCGTCAGGAAACTAAGTACCATCTCATTGTCTTATTTACAACGTAAGGAGCTTTCTGTGTTGAAGGCGAAGAGCCAACACCTGAACCAGCCTAGTGTTCTTGATGCTGTCCCTTCTCAAGTCTGCGCGTGGGAGAAAGAATTGATGCATATCTAGGTGCTGCCCGAGGTCCAAAATATGATGTTACATACTCCCTGTTTTTGTTTGTCATGTTTGCATGTCTAGTTAACTTGTGTTTTGTATCATGTCTTTCCTATGAACTACTAAAGCTCAGCTAGGTTCCTCTCTGTTTCTGCTTGCTATGCATCCATCTACAGTAATAACGTGTGTTTACCTCACCTATGTTATGTGCAATTTTATCGCCCTTGGTGCCCAAACAGTGTGATGTACTAGTTTAGTGCTAAATGGTTCAAGATTTTGTCTACTCATGTGTGCCTGTCAGTGGCACAAGGTGATACATGACCAGGGTGTGCAGGGCAGGGCTTGGCAAGAACTAACACCTGATTGGTACTGGGGTCTGCATATCTTGCATTGTATGTTTTGTCCAGCATCCTGATTCATGGATTGGATATAGAAATTTGTAACGGAGTTATATTGCTTCATGTGGAGATTGAAGGGACCTAGCAAGAATTAATGTGAATTTCTCTTCTACTTGTGAGCATGCAAGCTTAGTGTGTTGTTTCGATGCTTTCTGCAGGTTTGATCTCTTTGTGATCAGGTCCCTCTGAACAAGCCTTGACTGTCCTAGAGTGCTTAAGCTAAAGATCTCCAGGAATGCAATTTATGCTAGGTATGGACATGCATTTTTTCTAAGATATCATCACATGAATGTCATTGTCATGTGTATAAGTGACTCATTTGTAGCTAGAGCATCATTCTTCATAAATTACTCTTGTCATCATGCATCTACTACAAGAAGCCACAGGTGATTAGGAACAACATTTCACGGGTTTATGCTATAGTTCACAAGTCCATATTGTTTTCCTCGACAATCATCAGTTGAGATAGACAGAATACCCTAAAAACTAAAAAAACATCGGATTTGAAGAATAAAACGTTAGACCGCGGATTTTTAGCTCATTTTCATTACAGAAAAAATGTGACTGGATAAATTCAGAAAATACATTTTTGTTAAGAACTACCCCCTCTGTAAAGAAATATAAGAGCGTTTCGATCACTAGCGTTTAGATAACTATAGTGATCTAAACGCTCTTATATTTCTTTACGGAGGGAGTACTCTATTCCAAATTAATTGAAGTTCTAGGTTTGTCGTAAGTCATTTTTTATGTTAGACTAACTCTATCGGTAAATGTGTTAAGATCTACGACACCAAATAGACATGGGACCGAAATATATTTTTATGAGCACTTGAAATATTTTATGAGCTAGTTTCTGAAGAATTAAAATGTCTCGTTCCTAGC